ATATATATATATATATATATATATATATAATAACCTGAATTGAAAACTGAATTATAATCTTAGACTCTGGAGAAGAACAGTTTTGAAACTCAAAGTGTGTAACCTGTTAGGTGATTTGTTCATTTGATGTTGAATTTATCAAATTTTACAATGTTGGGAGAAAAAAAAACCATTTGCCATCATCATCCTCAAACTTGACTACTTAAGAGAGGATTTACTGACATTGACTACACGACTTTGTAACCATTCTACTTGAGGTTGTTTGGTAATGTTCACATTGTTTACATTTTTAATTGAAAGTACTTACAGTTCTCTTTCTAGAGTTGCTCATAACCCAGGGGGCTGCAGAAATGCCAAGTGAGGTCTGAATATGAAAACACACATTAGTATCTTTTTTCAAAACCCTTTGAGAGTCAGTGGCGCTGACACCAGAGTCAGACCTACCTGAGAACTAGATTCTCTTGAAGGTGAGGTCTGGACTATGAGGGAGTAGCTGCCCTGAAGTGTTGCATTCCCGTGAAGCACAGCAGGTTTGGAGCTGGTTGGAGGAGAAGTGCTTCTTCCTCTCACAACAGACACTCCAGCTCCTGTTGGGCTGGCTAACGTCTGCTCCCTGTGGATGTGTGTTTGAGCAGCCATATTTGCCAACTCCTCTTCCTTCTGCCACTCATCTTCTTCATTTCCAGTTTCCATGGCAATAGAGAAGTTATGACTAGCGTCCAGAGGGCGAGGTGTTGGTCTGTGAGTCTCCTGGCTTCTTGGAGCAGAGGGGTTCCCGGATCTAAGCCGATCCTCCTCACACTTTCCTGACAGGGTGAAGACCTGCTGAATACGAGGTGTCTGTTCGGAAGAGGGGCTGGCGTTTGGGGCTGGGACAGAGACCCGGGGTCTCTGTGGAGGGGGCAGTTGAGGTTGTGGGTTGGAGTGAGGTCTGGGCTGAGCCTGTGAGGAAGAAGACCATGGGTGGGGTTGTGTCGTACCATACTGTCTAGTCCAGCTGTGAGGTACGAGTCCTGTAGAAGCACTTACCCCACCCTCTCCAGAGGATAAAGTGCCCTTTCTGACAGCAGTGTAGACTAAAGGTCCTGAGGCAGATGTGAGGGGTGGGAGAGTCTGAGGGAGGGACAAGACCTTGGACTGGATGGGCAAGGAAGTGGAACTGGTCCTGTTCTGAAACACCTGGTTAATTAAAGATGAAGACGTGTGGACTGAAAGCTCAGAGTCGGACTGAGATTGGGGGGCAGTGGGTCTTGTTCGGCAGCGAGGGACAGAGTTCAAGGAGTAGATCCCAGTCAGGATCACATCATTGTTGTTGTTGTTGCTGCCACTGCTGAGGGGAGAGGACGAGGAGGAGGAGGAAGATGCTGATGAGAAAGAAGGGAAAGAGGAAGATGGAGGAAGAAGATGCACACGATTCGGGATGTTTCGTGCCACAGCTATGTCGACAGGAAGCAGCGCCCCTGTTCCCAGACCATGATTGGACAGTGCACTTCCAGCCAACGCAGGATTCGATAGCAGTCCTCCAGCTATTCCATGACCAGACAGGGACTGAGACACATTTCCATTCTGATCTACTTTTGAGGCAAGTTTTCGCCTTTTGTTGCCAACCCAAGTCTGGAAAAAGAAGCAGTCAGCTCAGACATATTTCTAAACGGTAAATGGACTGTACGTATATAGTGACTTTCCATGTTAGCAAGACACTCAAAACGCTTTACACTAAAATCAGTGTCCTCATTTATCCATTCATACAGCACTCTACTAGATCTATACGAAGCTAATTGAACAAATCATTCTAAAGAGAGTAATCAGAGCTTCATCATATTCAAACACTGATGGGACACACATCTTCAGTGTCTTGCCCAGGGACACTTCAGCTGTGACTAGTGGTGGATTCAAACCCCCAACTCTTGCATTGGAGGACGACTGCTCTAACCACTCGGCCACAGCCGACCCCTTTCTAAAACATTAAAAAAGTAAAGTCCCAACATTCCTTGAAGGAATGCATATCAGCCACTTTCATGCAGACGTTTAGCTGAAGATCATCTTATTAACAGCATTACAGCAGTTTTAGCCAAACTGTTACGAACAGTCTCGTGATATAGTGAGATCTTGCAAAATGTGTTTGTGCTCAGAGCATTTATGACTCTTAGCTACAACAACATACAATTTTAGCATAATATGTGTAACATTGACCGTGTTACAAGCAGTTGGCAATAAAAAGTATCACAATATTTATATGAAAACAGGTGCAACCCAAAGCTTTGGCAAAACTCTTCATACAACTCACTGACCCACCCGGACCACACTGAAGTCCAGTTTGGCCTCCTGGGCACATTGCAGTATCATCTGGAAGCACGCCTTGCTCTGATTGGTCATCCCATTGTCATAGTAACGTTCCAGGATCCTTTGCTGTTCAGCTGTAAACACGGACCGCAGGTTCATCTGAGACACGATCAGGATGATGGAGAGAAACAACTTTAGTCCATTGAAAACATTAGTTGTATGCAAACATACATGTCACTTTTAACGTACAGTCTGCAGACCACGCCTCTGTGACCATGCATCCATTCTGCTGCTGGAGGGGAAAGAGGCAGCCATGCAGATCACAGCAACACCTCCATTTGTAGAGATCAGCGCTGTTTGGTTAGGACTGTCCTCATCCTGCCTCAGTGTGCCTCGTGCACCTCTGCTTGGTGTAGCTGAGAGAAGCCAAAGCAGAGAACACATTTTACATATCACACAGGAAGCAAGTGTCCAAATAGCATTTCTTAAATAAAAAAATAAAAAAAGGCACATCACCCATCACAGGCCAAAGTTTTAACAAAACTATTGTGCAGTCTGTTAGCACTCAGAATGAATGTGGAAGACTCGACTACTATCACAAAAAGTTTTAGCTCATATCTGTCAAATCAACTAAATTATACCCTTTAGACTAAAGTTTAAAAAAGATTTTGTGCTCTTTGAGCTCAGAAAGTGTGTTTGGAATGACTCTCAGCTACCAACACACTAAATGTAATATCTGCAGAACTGACATTGATGCGTTTGCTCAGGTAAATTAACCGTGGCAGCCATCTTGGATTGAGTCCACAAGGTGAGCAGTTGTAGATGTATTTCCATTTATTAGTTTCTGGGTTTTATTCAAATTCATCTGCTGCTTGTTGTGATGTTTTGCTAACAAACAAACAAATACATGCACAATGCAAGTGCATGATCACCCACTTTTATGGCAGTGGACAATATTACCACCAGGACAATACAGGAAAAGTATTTCTTTACTCTACAGACTTAACTTTTATTTTGTATTTTACAGTAACTTCAAACATTGTAGTAATGTAAAAATTAGGATTTCTAAATCAGTGGTTCTCAAACTGGGGTCCGAAAAAAAATATATATATATATTTTCCAACACGCAGGTAATGTCTACCAACCTGTTAAAATGCACCAAAATGCAGGAAATCATATCTACTTTATTCATAATTTTCTGGGGGAGGACTCCAGATCCAGCATGGATCAGTTTACAAATGAAACCCTGTTACTTGGTCAGACTGCTGTTATGATTCTGTTCAGTTTGATGTAAAGAGTTTTCTGTAATAATTTGAAGAAGTTCATTTATGTTCATTAAGTGAGCAGGTAACGTTTTATATTCTGTTAATTTTCTCAAAAATGTAATTTTTGGAAGTTGAAATTAAACATTTTGTTAATACGTGTGTCTTGAACAAAACATACATGTTTAAAAGTATTAAAAAAAAAGAACAGGTCTTAGGTATTTATGTTACACAAATATTTCCATTGCATTAAAGAGACAAATTGAAGAAAATTATTTAATAAATATGAGGGGGTCCTGAAACTTTTTCTCCCCTGTAAGTGGTCCCTGAACCACAAAACAATTTTGGATGAAAATTTTACATCATATTTATTTTTTTTATATGATAGTTTGTTAAAAATACATTTAATAAACTAAACTGGTAAAAAACACTTGAACAAACAAATGCAATACTAATGCAAATACTTATAATCTAACATGGAGGAAAGCTTCATGTGGTCAGCATTGTATTGTTTATGCTGTTTTGTGTTTGTTGTGTTAGCAAAATATCTGTGCAGATTTTAATGAAACACTCAGAATGTAATCACTGGATGTACATCTACAATGGCGTATCCTATGGAGTGACTAATTCACGATGGACACCACAGCTAATCAACCTTAGAAAACACAAATATAACTAAGTCCATTTCACAGATACTGGTGTAGCTGAGTGGTTCCCAGCACATCCTCTTAGCACCAACAAATCACGAGATTGTGTGGTATCACATCAGACAGCATCATTTTTTTATTGGACTAAAACACTTTGGCATTAACTGTTAGGAGTCAACTTTTTCATTTTAAGGTAGCTGCTAATATTGTGTGTGATCAGATCACGGGTGTTATTTTTAAGGTTTGACCAAAATGGTTGAAACTCTCATCATTTGACATTAAAACATGACCGTAGTTTAAAACTCTGGCTTGAAAGGTCCATTTATATTTATTCAAGAAGAGCAACAGACTTGTCATTAACCATGTGTTTGCTTGGAATTCCGAGTGGTGGTGCAAAGAAGAGCAGGTGAGCCTGTGATTAGAAGGTTGCCGGTTCGACTCCCTGGACCGACAACATCAAAACGTGGGCGGGAAAGGTGAAACCCCCACACCTGCCTCCACCCCTCGTTTGCCCTTGAGCAAGGCCCAACTATCTGCTCCCCCCGGCACCTATCTCTTTGCTCCACACAGAGGGCTGTGGTTGCGTCAGAAAGGCGTAAAACAATTGCCACGTTTCTGTGCGAGTTAGTTCACTGTGGCGACCCCTGAAGAAGGGAGCAGGCAAAATTTTTTTTAAATAGTTCAGACACAATATTATGCAAGTGCTACGTGTCATCATTGTGAGTTCTCTGCATTTAACCCATTGCACCTGAGACGCACCCCGGTGGAGCAGTGGGCAGCTATGTGGGCGCCCTGGGAGCGATTAGGGATTGGGTGTCTTGAGACACCACGTGTGGGATTGGGCCTGGGGCTTTCAGGTTGTGGGTCGGCTGCCCTGCTTCGACTTGAGGGGGGAGTCATTTTGTCCTGCCTAAACAAACAGACTGTTAGCTTTAAAGAATAAGGTAGAAGCAGGAAAAAGTTTGTGTGTGTGTGCTAATGGCAACAATGACTCTATATAACATTTATCAATTTGACGCAGCACCACGTGAAACATGTTGTAGGAAAAACATTCAAGCTCGTTCAACCCAATCGAGTAACTCAAATGTAAATGATTGAAGCGGGAGACGAGTTAAAGCAGCTCCAACACTCCCACATGGCAGAAGTGCAGCTTTCAGAAGCTACATACGGGGATGTAGTACGACCAATAAGCAGCGGGACTTTATTTTGGAAGGCTCACTGCGCATGGCTACTTTGTCCCTATAAGCACCGCGATGAGAACAAGCAAACAAACAGTGGGCGAATTAGACCGCCTCCTAAACAACAAGCGGCGGATTTAGAAATGTATTTCTCACGAAAGAGGCGTCAACTTCACTACTGGGAGTTAGTCTGTAACTAACCCGGGTAGGAAGAGGCAGCCCACTTTAGCATGCAGGCCCGGGCGCGGCCAAAACCGACTCACACACACAGCGCTAGCTAACGTTAGCATTAGCTTTCCCGGTAGGTAGCCGCGGCTCAACTTTTCCTTCAAATCTGTGATTTCCCGACCCCTGGGCAGATCTTTTCCCCCCTGAGCCTCGCGCAGACTGGACAACGATAAGCGCGTTTAGCGGTGGCCTCCGGTGAAACGTCGAATCACTTCCCTTCATACCATTTTGATGTTAAAATCAGACGGACGGTCCAAATCAGCAGATTTCTTCCCCCGTCCCTTCTGCTAGACAATGAAATCAGAACGTCCGATCATCAATTCTAATCATGATTGTGACGTATTGCAGACAGGAGCCAATGAGATGTCGACATCTCCGCTGTGACATTTGGAGAGGAGCCGTGGTCCCGCCCCCCGTTGACTTTGTTCATTGAGTAGCGGGAGGGGGGAGGTCACAGGCTGGCAAGGTCCCGCCTCTTTTCAGTGACGTCACTGAACAACTAAAGCTGGGAATGGATGATTGACAGCTGCAAACCACATTAATTTCCAATGGTGTTTCTGCCTTTAACTCAAAAATTATTTTTTGGTAGACTTTAATTTATTACTTTGGAGGTTGGTGAAGTTTATTGAGGAAATTCAAAAAGCGTTCAATACAAAAACAACTGGACTTTATTAGTAACAGAAGACGTTTCGCTCCTCATCCGAGGAGCTTTCTCAATTCAAAGAGCAGAGAGTGAGAGATTCAGGTTATAAGGCTGAGTGAGATAAGACACACACACATATGTATGTTGAATTCATCATGTCCTGGATGACTGAGAATCTTCACCAGTTTATTGAGGAAAGAAATGACTAAAAGGTATATTGTTGTCTGTAGTGTTAGCGAAATATGTCATGAACCAGTTGGCAGATTTTAATGAAACTTTTAGAACTTAGTCATTGGATGCACATCTGTAACTCAATAACATTTGGAGCCAACCCAATTCAAGATGACCCCACTGCTAATTAATAGCAAGGAATGCCATTCCTTTAATGAGTAAAGCATTTGATTTAATATATTTTGAAATTTTTTTAAATGCGTTTTGCAGTTCCGCATGTTACAATTATGAACACGAATTAGAATTTGATAGTTTTAGGAATTATCATATTTTATAAACAGAGCAAATTCTAATACTTTCAAACTGCTCATGTTACTGCTCTCTGTCAAAATATGTCCACTTAAGCTACAGGACAAACTATTTCACTGTTATTTGTTGTTGAACACGAATAAGGGCGTTATACATCTTTTATAACAGTTTTTTTTAAAAGATGGAATAACTTCAGAAAATTATAAACCTGTTTGTCCATTTTTGATTTGCTTTTGTCCAGAGAAAAGTTACTGTAGTAATACTGCCATTTTCAAAATAAAATATATTACATAAAATGTTTCAATTGGTTTAAACCACCAGTTTAAATCAAATTAAATATATATATATATATATATATATATATATATATATATATATATATATACTTAACATTTGGGAGAAGTTACAAAGACTGATTACAAAAAAGCAAGCAGACAGGCACTTTGTTTTGCAGGACTGACTGTTCAGGGCCCGACAACCCAAACACTCTTGATCAATAATCACTATCGATCAAAACTCCAGTCAAACTCATCCGACCTGCTCCAGGAGGTCTAAAGACTGACGTCGTCTGGACTGCATGAGCTCTGAATCACCAGAAGAAAACCAGACCAACAGGATTTCAATCTGATGACTGTCACAAAGGCCCCGAGACGAGGATCTGCTGTTCCAGCTAAAAAGCGGGCGGTGAGTCTCCTGTGAGCTCCCGGTCGTCCATTTCTTTCCTCGGAGGCTTGGCAAGAATGTTGACGGGAGGTCACTAAAACCCTAAAATACCTCAGCTCGTGTATCTGTTGTGTCACACGTGCAGAAACTCCACAACATGAAATTGTAGGAAGACTTACTGAAGAAAAAACAGACGAGTCATTTTCTAAGTTTCTGGTGCTTGGAAAAAAAAAAAAAGTTTTTCATTTACCCTCTTTATTTATACATGAAGTCTCATTAAGTCACGAGAACTCATTTTCAAGCGAGACCTGCGAGTAGATGGTGGGGGTTAAGGGCTTTGCTCAAGGGCCCAGAGTGGGGCAAATGAAGGTGAAGGCAGGTGTGGGTGTTTCACTTTTCCACCCACATTTTGATGTTGACTGTACCAGGAGTTGAACCTGCGACTTTCTGATCACAGGCCCATCTTCTCTAACCTCTGCACCATCACTCCCTAAGCTTTTATTAAAATATAAAAATGGTTAATATGTCAAATACAAGAATGTTTCTAATAAAATGTTAAAAGACAAAAAGAGACTAATGCAATGGTATAGTGATCTGTCCAGTCTAAAGACCAGGATCAAAAGCACCAAAACGTCTAATTTTCTGTAATCCAAGAGATTAAATTAGCTCCTGTTCAGAAGGTAAAACTAAACAAGGTTGAGTCGGGTCATCTGGACAGATTCTTTGTTGAAAGGTTTCTTCTTTTATACAAAAAGGTTTCTTCAGTCTGAGGCACAGACGCAAAAGTATTTTAAGCAGCACCTTCTCAGAGTGGATCAACCAGTTTGCTGGTAACATCCAGAACCAGCTGCTCACTTGATCAAGAAGGACCATCAGCCTAACAATGGATCATTAGCACACTGATGGCTGTTTACTATTCACAGAGGGTTGAGTGATACTAGCAATCACAGCATTGTAAGAGGGGGACAGTTGAACCTGGAGGCCTCCACTCCTGTTTAATGATGGATGATTTCTTTTCACAAAGATGGCCTCCTTTACTCCTCTCTCAAACCATCGTTCCTCTCTATCATGGATGTGAACATCTTCATCCCTGAAAGAGTGACCGCTGGCCTGGAGATGAGTCCTTCTCCACCATAACCCTCAGCACTGGCTCTCCTCAGGGATGTGTGTTGAGCCCCCTCCTGTTTACTCTGCTCATGTTTGATTGTGCAGCTACCCATCCAGGCTGTCACATTGTAAAGTTTGCAGATGATACAGCGGTGGTGGGGTGCATCACAAACAATGATGAGTCCAGCTACAGGCAGGAGGTGGAACACCTGGAGAGCTGGTGCAAAGAGAATAACCTTCACATCAATGTGAAGAAGACAAAGGAGATGATTGTGGACTCAGAAGGAACAAAAACATCTACACCCCCCTGAACATAAGAGGATCTGTGGTGGAAGTGATCTCCAGCTACAAGTACTTGGGTGTACACATGAATGACAACCTCAGCTGGAGCAACAACACCACCATCCTGATCAAGAAAGCTCATCAGAGACTCTACTTCCTCAGGCGGCTGAGATGAGCTGGTCTGGGAAGCTCAGTCCTCACCTCCTTCTACAGGTGTGCAGTGGAGAGCATCCTGTGCTCGAGCATCAATGTGTGGCATGGAGGCTGCACAGCTGCAGAAAGAAAAGCTTTGCAGAGAGTGGTGAAGGCTGCACAGAAATCTGTTGGAATCAGCCTTCCCACCATCACAGACATCTACACCTCCAGATGCAGGAAGAAGGCCACCTGCATCATGAAGGACCCCACTCACCCAGCACACACTTTTTGCCCCACTCCCCTCAGGAAGGAGGTTGAGGAGCATTAAGTGTAGAACCACTAGACTGAGGAACAGCTTCTACCCTGAGGCTGTTAGACTCATGAATCTCTAATCAGGATAATCACTGTGAAAATTCACATCATGTTGCTGCTGATCTGTTTCAATGTTGATGTGTTCATGCGTGCACATCCGCTCACAGACTCATGTTCATGTTTGTGCTGATGTTCAATGTTTTATATTATGAGTGCTTGGTGTATATTTAGTTGATGTTTTTCTTAGTTCATATCTTAGATGTTATTACTGTTTTTCTTATACATTTTATTGTTGGATGTAACTGGGACCCTGTGTACATAATTTCACTCCACCACATGTACCACATGAGGTGCGAATGACAATAAAGAATCTCTGACTCTGACTCTGAGTGTAGACCACTGAATCCTGACCTGATGATGTTGATCTTCTGTGCTGGGCCATCCTTTTGGCCAGTGGCTATTTAGTTTCCCCGATGTAAGACTGATCACAATAACAATTCTGTTATTGTATCACTCAGTCCTCTGTGAATAGCAAGCCGCCATTGGGGCACTAACGATCCATTAGGCTGATGGTCCTCCCCTTTAGCATGTAAAAGACTAGTTTTGTCTGTCACCAGCAAACTGGTTGATCCACCATGAGAAGATGCTGCTTATAAGACTGAGTTTGTTGCAGCTCCTCAGACTGAAGAAGGTTTTTGGATAAAAGACAAAACGTTTCAACAACAAATCCGTCCGGAGGACCTGACTTAACATCTTTAGATTTACATGGATTATTGAGCATGCATCAGAATATAAACCAAACCCTTTCACATGTTTTTCTTCAAGAAAACAACGTATTTATACACTTCAATCAGTAATGCATTAGATTAGATTCCTTCCTGCTGATTACTAGAAAAATAATAATTAAAAAAAAAAAAATCCTACAAAGACTTTGTTAAAAAAAAGTTACTTTCCATCCCAGTTTCTTTATTTCCTTGTCTCCAGTCTGTGTCTGAGTATTGCTGACTCTTCTGTCCCAGGATTCACAGTCCCTTCTCTGACAGAAGGAACCCAGCTGTGTGTGGGAGAGCCCAAAGTCACAGGCCCAGTCAGTGCCTGTGGGTACGCACTGGAATACCTGACCAGGGTAAATGGAGGTACAGTAAAGTTTATATGACCAGTGGGTTTGTCGTTGGTCAGGCATGATTCTGTTTCATGATCAGCAGGGGCAGGAGGCTCATTTTCACAAGCAGCAGGTAGGTCAGTGATCTGTTCCTGGCTGATAACGTGATCAGCTGCTCACATTTCTCATGTCGGTGTCTCGTCCATCTCACCACATGATGCTTTTTGTCATCTCTTTATAAGGAGGAGCTTAGGCCTCCTGGGCCTCTGAACACTGACCATGTACTTGTTTTCAAGACACGAATCAATGAGATATTCTGGCCACTTTGCAAGTGGGACTTTAGAAGTTATAAATAAATCTCTAACCTGTTGTAGATTATGTTTTACAGCACCCAAGGTTGATTTTAGCAGAAATGTTATATTTCTGTGAGAACATTTGTGTAATGCAAAGTTGATGGTGATGTAAGAGGCTCGTTAGAGCAGGATTTGCACAAACAGCTGTGAAGTTTTGAGTTGTTGTTACTTTGAAAGTGGGTCCACTTGGATATGCTCATTAAACCCACTTCCACAGCAAATTGTTGCACTCTTAAAATAACTTGAGTCGTTCAAATGTTAGCCCCTTTAAAAAATGCTATTATCTAAACTTTTTTTTTTTTTGTATTTTTTTTTTATGGTTAATTTGTCAGAAGTTGTATGAAACTTCTGCCAGAACTGAGTCCAGGGCGTCTCCATAAGTGCTACAACTAGATCAGGAGTGTCCATTTCTGGTCCTAGAGGGCCACTGTCCTGCATGTGGACCACTTGTGTCCCTGCTCCAACGCACCTAAATCTAGGATTAAATTATGGCATGGAGTGGTGGAAAGAGCAGAAATTTTCATCCAGACTAGACGAATGGATTGCCAAACATGCCCCTGCTTTATCTTGCCAAGTTTATAAAACAACTCTGCTCAAAAATAACCAATTAAAGTGAAACAATCTCTAATACTGAACTTTACATGTTTGGATGACAACATGTACGTTGTCACTGTTATCATAACTGTCCAGACAATCCTTCTAAGAGTGCTGTCAGGAATTGGCACAGATGTGTGGTTGCCATGACAGCTTTAACATTTCTTACAATTGTGGTTACACCTATTATGTCTCCATTGTGTCAGCTTAGACTAGTTCAGAGCTTAGTCTACTAAGTTAGTGTACTGTTGAGCTTGCAGTAGCTGCATGGTCGCCCTTTAAAATCCCTCCAGAAATGTTTTAGCTGAACTGGTTGTGTAGATGGACGGTGGTGACGTCACCTGTGTCCTAAGTGCGGCAGCAGAGGGCGCTGTTTCTTCCGGCTCGGTTCACGCAACGAGCCACAAGCGCTGGCTCCACATCTGGCTGATGTGCTCCTTCTCCAGAGTGTGATAACAGCTGTGTGTGTGATGTGGCACGCGGAGAATGTCACTGCGACGGAAAACATAAAAAAAAAAAAATTGTTTTAATATTTGTTACCTGCAGCAGACATATTATTGATGGACCTGCTGCAGAGGAGATTTTAGAAAGAGCTGTAAGGATATTTACCGTGTGTGTGTGTGTGTGTGTGTGTGTGTGTGTGTGTGTGTGTGTGTG